TCTCTTCACATGGAGCTGTCTTTGAAGACAATCAGAAACTTTGGCCAGTTCAGAATGCAGCTGCTCACCTATTCACTAAAGCTGTTTTTAGCATAGCGTGCCTTTTACCCTGTGACGTATCCCAATGGTCAGTACCTTCTTTCTGTGCCTTTCTACAGCAGCCCATTCCAAACAGGCTGCCAGTCCAAGTGCGATCTCCTACCTCTCTAATGGCATTTTGAAGTGCTCTTTAGGACAACTTCCTACAGAGTTTTATTTGGAGCCCTGTTCCACCTTGCCCTCCAAAGCTTTCCCTGTACTTAGAGAGGCTTTTCTTTCTAGAGTAGCTCACCACCACCACCTGACCTTCGTAAGGAATTGCCCACTGGGAGGGCCGGGAGGGCTCCCAGCTTCCCTTCCAAGTCCTGAGGCCTGGCCTCCGTGTCTCCCGCTGCCCAGCATCTGGTCACCACGGGGACAGTTTACTGCCTTGTGTGCCTTTGGAGGAACAGCCACTTGGCAACTGCCTGCCTTCCCCCTGTCATTCCTTTTAAAATACCGTGTCTGAGACAGTGGAGGTCTTTGTAGTACAGAGAACCACTACCAGCATTAAAAGTTATAAAGTATTTATTAAAAAGAAAAAGTCCATAAGCATACTTTTAGCACAACACCAAATTGAACAAGGGATACAAAAGAAGTAGGTAAAATGCAAATCCTTTCTCTATACATGCCCTGTCAGATGTTAAAATAGGACAGGCTGTTTAGCTTAGAAGTGACACATCTCTGTATAGTTACCATTACCTTGAAGCTCCCTTCAGCTGTCCAGGCCGACCACATGGTCAATAGCTGCCTCCTTAGTCGGGAGTCCTGCCTCTTCTCATGGCCACAGCACCCAAGGAAAAGAGCCCTCTTTCCTGTTGCAAGGAATTTATTACCATATCTGTTTCTACACCCACTGACCGGGTCACGTCACATCAAAGAAGCATTTCCTAGGGCTTCTTCCTGGAGATTATGCCTGGATCCGTTCTAGCCTAAAGTCCTCCAAGGTTGCAGTCACACACGGGCCAGCTGAAGCGGAAGGGAAGTGAGGCTGTTCCCTCTGGAGGAATTTGACCCACAATTGCGAGATCACACCTCCTTTCGCAGCTACAGGCGCAGCCCGTCACAGTGTGATCAGGCGCAACTTAGTGTGAGTGGGGGGGTGCCACTTGTTTCCCATGCACCTAAATGTGGAACGGCATCTCCGCACCAAGGGCCCCCGATGGGTATGTGATGATGTGCATACTGCAAAGGGGGGGGGAAACGACAGCGAGCCAGGAGGGCCCGATCAGACCGTGCCGACTAAAGTGGAGAATCCGGCCCAAAACTGGCTAAACATGTAATGAACAGACTGGCATCAAAGACGCTAGAGATACTCAACCATCATGCCAGTCTATCATTGATCTCAAAGTGAAACTGTTAATGACATTATTGTGACAGTAAATACAGTTAATCAACGTTCATGAAGTAATTGTGATTATAAAGTTATATGAAGGCCCCGGTCACACGGAGCATTAGCCACACTAGAGGGACGGAAGATAGGCGGATTTTCCGGGCGCGATCTCACCGCCACATCTGGGAAGCGTAGAGCTCCCGTGGCTCACCCGAGGCTTCCCGCCGAAGACGCGCGGTAAAAAAGTAGTACCTCGGAGGTACTAGTTTCCGGAAACCGCGGGGCAAGGGCGGGCGTCTGATCGCGTTTCCGGTGGCATCCGGCGCCCGCCCATGTCCCCTTGCGAAAAGGTGTTGTTGTTTTTTTCGAAGTCTGCAGGGATGCACACAGGCACCCAACGGGGCATGCGCATACTTCAGGTTAAAAACAAAAACACAACCCCGTTTGCCGTGCCGCGCCGCTTCTTTGGCGCATCGTGTGATCAGCACCTCCCCCCTAACCACGAGACCTCGACGGGACCGTGAGGGGACACCTGATCGCGCAGTTGCGCGTTATTTTGCTGCGAGGCAAACAGCCACGCCCCCCCCCCACGATATCCGGCCCGTGTGACCGGGGCTGAAGTTATTTTGATCGTTATAAAGTGATTGCTCATTACAAAGTGGTTGCCGATGAGAACCTCCGGATTAAGTTCCGTTCCGTCTCTTTGCCGTGCAAACATGACGCCTTGATTTGTAGAACGCTTGACGTAACGTGCCTTTTGAAGATGAATTACTGATTAACACTCCTTGAAGATGTTTGTATGACACGCAGAAACCGTGGCTAGGAAAATAATAAACCCTTAGTGAAGGTTTGTTCAGATGCAGAGACGTTTTATCCTCACAACAGCCCTGTGAGGTAGGTCTGGCTGAGAGTGTGTGTGGCCCAGGATCACCCAGCGGGATTCCATGGCAGAGTGGGGATTCGCTGAGGAGACACTGAGGGGTCTGACACTCCAACTGTGACACCCTGCTGGCTCTCGGAGCGCTGGGGCAGGCACTGCTTCAGTCCAACCTGTCTTCTCCATCTGTCGGGGGTCCTCTGCTGGGGCGAGAGGGAGCGGGCCTGCTGACTGACACCGGAGGAGCCGGACTAAGGGCGGCCCCCTCGTTCTGCTGTGCCTGGCAGCCCCTGGTCCTGTGCATGAGGGGAGGGGCGCTTTGGGAGCTTCCCCCCAAGGGAAAGGCTGCGGAGGCCCCTCCCCCAGCGGTCTCCCACTGAAGCGGGGGGGGGACTTACGGACTTGAAAATGTCTCTCCTCCCATCCTGTAGACTGTGCAGAGTGAAAGTCAAGCTTGCCCAGACTCTGCGCTGTCCGCCTCTTTGCTTGCGGGCCGCCCTGCTTGCCCCTGCCTGGGGTTCCCTTCCATTAGGACCAGCCTGGGTCATGAGAGCCCCCTGGAGAGAGAGTTGGCCACCACGGGGGTCCTGCGCCCCACACACTGCTGCTCTGCAGTTCAGTGACCCTTTTGCCATCCAACGTTGTGCACCAACCCAGATCAGCCGTGTTGCCGGGTACTCAAGGAACATGGTGTTAATGTGCTCCTTCGTCTCTAGGGGGTGACCAATCCCGGGGGGTGGTGGTGGTGGTGATGTTGTTGTTTTTCACCTGGGAAAGTTCTCCCGGGAGGAGGAAAGACTGGGGGCTTAATGGTAATGGGTTTATTGATAGGAAGAAGCAAAGAGGCAGTGAGAGCCAGTTTGGTGTAGTGTTTAAGTGCGCAGACTCTCATCTGGGAGAACCGGGTTTGATTCCCCACTCCTCCTCCACTTGCACCTGGCTGGATGACCTTGGGCAAGCCGTAGTTCTGATAAGAGCTGTCCTTGGAAAAGAGCAGTTTCTGTCAAGAGCTCTCTCAGCCCCACCAACCTCACAGGGGGTGTCTGTTGTGGGGAGGGGAAGGGAAAGGAGTTGTAAGCCGCTCTGAGACACCTTTGGGTAGTGAAGGGGGGGTAGAAATCCAATCTCTGCTTCTCTTCTTCTTCTTCTTCTTCTTCTTCCCGTGCCCTTTGCCATGCCAGATAGTCCCTCACAGCGAGGAGAGGCCCAGCCTGCTGTGAGGCAAGGCAATGCCATAGCATATGGTGGGGAACCCCGAGGTGGGCGGTGGATTCATTTCCCCAGCCGCCAACTAGCCTCGGTGGACCTCTTTGGCAGGACAGGGGTCCAGGCAGGAATGGCAGCAGGGAGGGAAATCCAAAATGGCAGCAGCAGCAAATGGGACAACCAGCCATTCCGTGTCAGGATTAGTCCCTAAATCGATTGTCTGGTTTCTTTTGTTACCAGCCTATTTGGGTGTGTCTCCTTCTCTGGATGCAGAAAAAGCAGGTGGAGAGGTGCCTAAGGCCTAAAATTGATCACGCGTCTATCCAAGATTCAAAATGTACTTTCCACACGCAGCAGATACATTGCAGGCTCCTCCACCGTGCTGATGTGTTTGCTTTCTACGGCCCACCTGAAGGCAGAAACGGCAAAAAGGGGGGGGGTTCGTTGCCCTGATGAACAGCGTGGGCAGCATGGTCCCACTTCCAGGTGCCGTTGCACCAAAACAGTTCTGAGTTCCACCACTCTGAATGAGAACGGTAATGATTCCTGCGCTTGGCTCCCTTAAGAGCTTAACTCTGGCTGGGTCGTGCCTCTTCTTCTTTCCAGCCACATCATACTGTTGTAAAGAGTTTCTCTCGATTTAGGTCAAGACGGGCCTGTCTGTTAGTCTGCCTGTCTCGATGGAGGAGTGATCGAAACCGGTTTTGTGCTCAGAGCCCTTGGTTGGCAGCGATCCCACTTTGTCTCTGTGGAAGGGAGGTGGGGAAGGGAAGGGTTCTCCACAGAGAGGGGGAGGAGGGGGAGGCAGTGAACTTGGATTAATCAATATGTAATATTGTCCATGGTCTTACAAGTGATATCGTATTCGGTTACTGTATATAATGCAATATTGATTATATCATATTGTATAATCACGTATAAACTGACATATAGAGCAGTCGGGAGGGAGGTAACAGAGTTAGAGAAGGACCATTTCTTTGGGCTCCTCTAACAGATGGCCCTGGAGGACCCTGGGAGGAGAGGGCACATGGGCCAAAGTGGCCCTGAAAAGCTGTTTGGTTGATACCTGTTTGGAAGTGCAGTCCAAGAGCTACCCTCACGCCGCTTGCTGAAGGCATCGCTCCGAGGCTAGCTGCAGTGGAGGCATCCTTGCTGATTGCTTGGATTTGCCCCATCTTGATCATTTTTTAACAGTGGGAACCAAGAACACACAACTCCAGGCTGTGGGCCACGTCCCCACGATGCTTTTGCTGATACAAGCCCCTGGACCCAAGTGACCTTGCTACCTCCAGCACAGGGAAGGAGTCACTGAGAGAGGGCAGGGTCTGGAAGCCCACCAGTTTTTCCCTCTGAAAGGGAAGAAGAGCACAGACCCCCCCCCCTCGGAAGTGGGTGGTGAGGAAGTGTCTGGAGGGACTCCCTTGCCAAGAGAACTGAGAAACAGTGCCGGGTACTTTCCAGGGCAAGCCTCACTAATGCCCTGTCTTCTCTTTCTGTATCTCCCAGAAATCTCCGAGGGCTCTGTTCCGAATGGCGACTCCCAGAGTAGTGTGGACAGTTTGCGGAAACACCTTCGTGCCGACACCTTCACGCAACAGCAGCTGGAGGCTTTGGATCGAGTCTTCGAACGTCCTTCTTACCCTGATGTCTTCCAGGCCTCGGAACACATCAAATCGGAGCAGGTGTGACGAGCCCTGGGGAGAGCTGGCAGAGGCACCCGGGCGGGCGCTGGAGGGAACAGGGGCTGCCCACGTGGGCTGTGCTCTCAGGCGCAGAAAGGGACGGACAGCCAGGCCCTCTGTCTAGAGGAACCACCATCGTATGAGGGGAGAGCGAGGGAGTCTCTTGGCAGGACTCTCAGCAGCAATCACACCAAACTACAATTCCCAAGACTCTTTAGGAGCAGCCACGTCAATGAAGCTGACGTCAAGCCAGTTTACATTTGTAGTGTGTATTTACACTTTCTCTGAGCAGGATGAGTGCAAGAACATTTCCAGTGTTCTGGGTGCTTTTAGATGCTCACACACCGCATGACACTCTTTTCTTCTGGCGTACCTTTGCCTCTCCTTTGAAAGGTCTCACACACTCACAGACACACTCATATCTGCACGCAACCCCTCCACAGGCAAATGGACAAAAGCCCCTAGGAATCCATGGACCACAAGTCTGCACCACAATCCCCCGGCCAAAAGCCCATGCATCTGACCCAACATGGCTTCCCCCTTACATATACAGGCCTGCCTAGAGCCATAAATCTCCCCCTCTCTGTCTCCTGCCTGCCTGCACCCATGCGTTAATGCAACCGTCTTCAGACAAATACGCACACATGCGCGCGCATGCACACACACAAAAAAAATCTCGCATTTTTATATGCCCACATATTTTTGTATACAAGCTCCATTTGATTATTTCATTGTTTGTGAATTTGCCTAGATTTTCCTCTCTTGAATGAAACAAACGTCAGCAGTTGTTGTTATCAAGAAAGCAGTGCTCTCGTCTTTACCTGGGGCCTTACGGAAGGGACACCACTGATGCTTCAGCTGCCCTGATTCTGTGGGCGCTGCCCACGGACTTCCTGGTGTGAAATTTGTGCTGAAGTCACAGTTCACTCCCCTCTTCTATGGGCCATTGGCCAGATTGCTGGCAGCGTTCGCCCCTCGCACAACACTTTTTGCAGAGAGCTTTATGGAGACACAGATGGATCCCTTCAGTGAGAGAAACACTGGCTATGAATCTGTGATAGAAGTTTTTCAAACAGCCCTCCTGTAGTTTGCAGGATAATTTACATTAT